GCATCTTTTAGTATGCATCTTTTGTTGTGCATCTTTTAGTTGGCATCTTTTGTTAAGCATCTTTTGGTTGGCACCTTTTGGTAAGCATCCTTTGATTGGCATCTTTTAGTTGGCATCTTTTAGTATGCGTCTTTTGGTAGGTAACTTTTAGTTGGCATCTTTTGGTAAACATGTTTTGGCAAGCATCTTTTCGTTGGCATCTTTTAGTATGCATCTTTTGGTAGGCATCTTTTAGTTGGCATCTTTTGCTATTCTCACGCGCCTTCGGGTTTCGGTGTCACATTTTCTGTTCTCTTTTAAAGAATTTTTCATATTTTTAAACTTCTTTGATAACACAAAGTCCCACGTCACCGTGACCAAAGATGCTGTCCTTGTTCAGACTGTGGATCACGCTTGATAACACGCTCTCTTCCAGAAACTGTAACTAAGGTCCGCTCACTACATTTGCAGTATAAAGTACAGGTGGGCTCTATGGGTGTTGAAAATAAACACAAATATGCCAGTGCAGGCGTCTGCTATAGGGATTGGCTACTCTTCAAATGTCGAATGTTTAACTAATTCTAATTTTTATATTCCCCTCTTTACACTATATTAATTTATAAATTTTCCTCTACTCTAAGAAATCTTTCCTTTAATCTCTTACATGACTTTATATAATTTAATGTTATTTTGAAATCTCCTTTTATTCGTCTTTTAGTTTTAAATTAATTTTCCATTCTTCATATAACCCCAAATTAATGTCATAAGGTTAATATCCGGGTTTAATTTTATAAAACTTCTTCTCTTTAAGACTAATACTTCCACCCTTCCTTGCCCACTGTCTCGTACCTTTCGTCTGACTGAAACATTGAAATGCATAAATTCTCTATTAGTTTTTCGACAGTTGATTTTTTTATTAGCTTTCACAGTTAAATTTCTATTTCTGACACAGAGACAGTCCACACTGGGATTGATAAGACAGACGACCAATATTTTCGTCTGCCGAAATAGGCTATGAGGTGATTTTGGATTTTATTGTTTATTAATTAATTGCTCTGTAATTGTAAATACATTGAGCTCTTTATGTGGATCAGTTTCAATATTTTATATTACTAAGATCCACTTGGATTACATACCAAGGGATGTGTTACCTTTACGATAGATAGATAGATAGATAGATAGATAGATAGATAGATAGATAGATAGATAGATAGATAGATATGGATGCAGGGGAATAACCACGTTATCAAAAAATATTAGATTATGTTATAATAAAATACTAGAAGTTAAAATCTAATTCTATATCACCATGTTTGATACAGCATTTAAATGAAGAAAAAAAACAAAAAAGAAACAAGTGACCCCCACACTTTAAAAAAAAAAATACACTAAGACAAAATATATACATATTAACATCTCAATAAATTAAAATTGGAAGCCATCAATGCCATGCCTGGCGTAAAATCAGGGTATTGCTATTTTTTTTTTTTTATATTAATTTTCACCTTGTACATGGCCCGGAGCCACTCGAGGTAGAAGATTAAGTTAAAGGATAGTTTATATGGATAGGAGGGGAAGATAACGGTTAACTCTTGAACAGGTTAAGATTGTAGTGATCGGAGTAAGCATCCTCTTGAGAGTCTGTTCCACATGGCAGTGGTTCGCAGAAAGAAGCTGTTTGAGTGGAACTTCTCACCGATGGAATACGGATGGAATGTGGGTGGTTTGCAACGATGTAAGTGGCATGGCGGGTCGTAGACGCGAAAATTAGATCTGGTGGAACTAAGAAATATAGTTCGTCCGAGCACTTTCAATAGTAGAAGCGACAGAGCAGCGAGAGGTTTGCTACATCCCCCCTGTGAGAGAGAGAAGTTGGAGGGTGGAAAATAATTCGACATCAACAACCACTCGGAGGCGCTTTTGAAGTTTATTAATTCTAGAAAGTGAGGACTTGGCAGCTTCCGCCCAAATATGGCAACAGTACTCATTTACGGCCTGGGTTAGGGTTAGGGTTATAGGTTAGGTTGGCTCTTATAAAGGGAGAGGATACCGTGAAGAAGGTACTTACTGGAGCAGTATAGGGATTCGATTATTTTACCTGTATCTTTAGCGATGGATCATGTATAAAAGTTCTACTTGAGGTCAAGTGCGATTTTCAGGAGCAATATATTCTCAAGGTATGATGCTTCTTCAAAGTAACATCCGTTCATCGTCACTGGCGCTAGATCGGGGTTCGATCGGTGATGATGGAAAGTGACTAGTTTGGTTTTCAAGCCATTGAATATAACCAACCAGTTTTTTTTTCCCGCTGAGAAATTAGTGTTAGATCGGAAGAAAGGTCAGCTGTCAATTTCTGATCGTCAAGAGTTTTAGAGATACATCCGTATATCGACGTATCATCGACATAGATATTTACAAATGATCGGTTTTGGTTTGGTTTGGTTTGGTTTATTTTGTTTTACGACATATTAACCTCAATGGGTTATTTAATGCCGACAACATTTTTAGGATAGATTCGTATGAATAGAATATATATTCTTTGGTTTAGATTGGTTTGGTTTATTTTGTTGTACGGCATATCAACCTCAATGGGTTATTTAATGCCGACAACATTTTTAGGATAGATTCGTATGAATAGAATATGTATTCTTTGGTTTAGATTGGTTTGGTTTATTTTGTTTTCCAGCATATCAACCTCAATGGGTTATTTAATGCCGACAACATTTTTAGGATAGATTCGTATGAATAGAATATATATTCTTTGGTTTAGATTGGTTTGGTTTATTTTGTTGTACGGCATATCAACCTCAATGGGTTATTTAATGCCGACAACATTTTTAGGATAGATTCGTATGAATAGAATATGTATTCTTTGGTTTAGATTGGTTTGGTTTATTTTGTTTTCCAGCATATCAATCTCAATGGGTTATTTTATGCCGACAAAAATTTTTATTGCTGGTAATATTTTGTTTTGTCAAAAATCTGATTCTGGTAATATATTTCCTTCAAAATTGTATTGCTGGTAATAATTTTTTCTAAAAAAGTTTTGCTGATAATAGTTAACTATATGCCCATAGCTGGACCCTAACAGGTGCTAACACCTCTGGTCAAAGTGGACCTGGGAACACCAGCAATTAAGAGGTGGTTCCACGCTCCTCAAAACCTCCTGATCAGAGGCCTTGCTGCTGGGCGTAGTTTAACGTCTTGCCCAGGATGCGGATGTAGTTTAACGTCTTACCCAGTACGATACAAATGATCGGAGTATATTCTTAGGCAGATCATTGATGTACACCAGAAAGAGGGTTGGTACGAGAAGCGAGCCCAGAGGAACTCGGAGACTTCGTTAATAACTACCTTCAGGGATCTGCCTGTCAGGGTTTTATAATTGAGAAAACTGTTTATTATTATTATTATTATTATTATTATTATTATTATTATTATCGATTTTCTCATATTGTAATGACTAGCGAGATGAGGAACGAGAAATTGCTAAGTCGAGTTCGAATTCTGATCGAGATCGTTATTATTTCGCAGAAATAGCATTGACAAAGGTACAAATCCGTGTCTTCGGCGACAACCCCATGAATTTGTAGGTTAAATAGCACAACAAATTGGTGCCTCTTGCCGTTATCAACAACTAATCTGGAAGAATAATACCTCTGAAATGAAATCCATATGTCACCCTGACGAAACTCATACTATACAGCCATGGAAAAGATTGCAAATTTCACAATTAACTGCGGTGCGTAGTCGTGAATCTTGACTGCAGTCGATGGGATTATTATTATTATTATTATTATCTTTGATTTCTGGCGTTTACACATTTCTTTCCGGGTCCCGCCCAGGGACCTAAGGTTAGAAATGGCATCATGACACTTTCCACTGGCAAAAAAAAAAAAATACATAGATAAAGCCCTTCGTAAAGTGTGGGCTGTACTTGTCAGAACAATTTTTTGTATCTCCTTGAGGCATGGACTTCCAAGAATCCCTTTAATTAGTCTACTGCAATCTTTTCCAACCAGTCCTAGGGCTCCAACTACATCAGTGATTGTTGATGTTCCCATATGCCACATTTTTGAGATTTCTATTTCAAGGTCCTTGTATTTTGACAGCTTTTTGAATATCTTCAAAGATACATTGCAGTCAGCAGGGACTGCCATATCAACAAGGAGGCACCGTTTTTGTTTGTGGTCTTTAATAACAGTTATTATTATTTTCTTCCATATATGATGTATACTCATTTTTTCTGGATCCCGACCAGAGACACAAGCTTAGAAATGGCATCATGACATTTTCCACTGAACATTTTTAAAGAAAAAAATTTCCCATACATCAAGCCCTTCATAAGGTATGGGCTGTACTTGTGAGTACAATCTTTTGGATTTCTTTAAAGCGTGGGCTACCAAGAATCCTTTCAGTAAATCTATTGAAATCTTTTCCAATCAATCCGATGTCTCCAACTACAACAGAAATTGTTGATGTCACATTTTTTAGATTTCCACTGCAAGATCCTTGGATTTTGATAGGTTTTTGAAGATCTTCAAAGATACATTCCAATCTCCAGGAACTGGCATGTCAATAGGAAAGCAGATTCTGCTCTTGTGGTCTTTGCTCATGATATCTGGAGGGGGATTAGCTTTGATTGTTCTGTTTGTGTGTATTGTAAAGTCCCATAAATCTTTTACAGGTCCTATCTCTGTAAACGGGTTTGGGTGATGTTCATACCAGTTTCTTGCCGTTTTCTTTCAGTAAAAGTTGCAGATTTTCTAGTGCAGATATTGGCAAACTCTATCCTGTGAGCAAATCATATCAATTAGTTGGCAGGTTCCTTTTTTGAAATCTTTTACGACTATGTCTGGTTTATTTGCACTAATTCTCCTGTCTGTGAGGAATGGGAAATTCCACAATTATTACTATTATTATCATTATTATTACTTCTTTAGCGGAAGATTTTTATGGGATTATTCCTGGATACTCATCCCAATTTCCTTGAAAATTTTGTGTCTTTCAGTGTACTGACCATGTTCCATTTGTCGGACATTTTCAATACGAGATTTAACGACACAAATTCCTTTAACAGGGGAGCGTCGGGGCATATTTTCCCGCCTTTGTCAAAAAGCAAACTTTTACCAATATGCGAGAAAGGAAATTGTCACACCTGTCAGTTTAAAAAAAAACCTACAATTCTAGTTGCAAATTTTTGTCCACCAACGCATCAAATCATGTTTGACAGAAACAGAATCATTTTTAAACGTTTCCTTCAATCATTTACAAATATGAAATTAATGATGTGACTTCAACTTCCGTCATTATAAAAGCAGCAATCGGAAATGATTCGCAGCTAAAAATTATATACACAATATATATATATATATATATATATATATAGGGTGCGATGGGTAAATTGCCGGCATTTTATATTTTAAGTTCACGCGTGCACGTTGTTCGTTTTAGATTATGTCAACTGTACAGTATCGTAGGGTCAGTTAGAAACCGTCTGTAAGAAAAAAGAGCACCATAACACAATGCACTCAGTCAGAAATTTCAAAACGGCATCCTATACTGCTTGGCATTCGCAATAGAATCTCCAGTATGTACATTTCAGAGTGTTTTAGGGGAAAATCTGAGGATAGTGCAGAAGATTCGGAAAGAGTCTATTGGTGAATCCGAAGTGTTTGGAGTTATCTCTAGTGATGGCGACATTATGTCTCCATTCATCTTCGCACAGGGGCTTAGATTCAACACGGTGGCCTACATCAAGTGCTTTAAGGAGGTAGTTCCACCCTGGGTCAATAGGGTGGCTGCTGGAAGATCCTATGTCTGGCAACAGGACTCTGCACTATGTCACACAAGCAGGAGAACCCTGTCATGTCAGTAATACAATTTCTGCGACCACATCTCCCCTTACATCTGACCACCTAAATGCACAGACTTGCAACACCCTTGATTATTATGTGTGAGACGCAGTTGAGCGAGAGACCAGCAAAACTCCTTGTAATGTCAAAGATGAACACAAGGCAAGGTTCATGGCAGCATTCACTAACTTAAATATTCAGTTGCATGAGTTTCCGAAATCGTCTGAAGTCCGCGGTTGAAGCCGATGGCGATTAAATCTTTAGTATTTCAAGATATTTTTGTGGAATTTTGGTAAATATATCTGTTAAAATGAGATGTCAGTGTTATTTTCATTTTTGCATAATTTAGACGACAATTTATTCATCGCACACTCATACATACATATATATATATATATATATAGGTGTGGAAGGATTAGAAAAACAAATATTACTAAGTCCGTCTATATTTGTGAGATGAGGTATTATGTACATTATTTACATTATTCGGACTATTGTCCTCATCTTTGTCGTCATATTTATCACAACGTTTCGGCCGTTCTACGCTCCGGCCTTCTTCAGGCGGTTGGAATGTCGAACTGAACCCTTTATTTCGCTCACCGGGGTAGACTGTTCTACTTCCACGTGCCATGTTTGATGGATGTCAGTTATCAGTTATCTCCTGTTAATTTCCCTCTGAAAGTTCTCCACTGCCTTAACCAGGTATTGAACTCACACTCTTTTAATCCTGTCACTGGATCTAACCAACAGGAAATTAACAGGATATATATATATATATATATATATATATATATAGTAAAGGTAACAAATCTGTTGGTATATAATCCAAGTGGATCCTAGTAGTATAAAATATTAAAACTCATCCACAAAAAGTGCTCAGTGTATTTATTATTACAGACCAAATAATTAATAAACAGTAAAATCCCAAATCACCTCCTATGGGGAATAGGCGTAGATATCGGTCATTTTTCTTATCAACCACGTCGTCTCTCTTATCAATTCTATTTTATTCTGACACGAAGTCAATTCATACTGGGCTTGATAAGACAGACAAACAATAACTTCGTCTGACGAAATAGATTATTTCCCATATGAGTTTATTAATATATATATATATATATATATATATATATATATATATATATATATATATATTATGAAATGAACAGAGTCTGACAATTATTTTAAGAGATTTTTATGTTTATACATTCTTTTTATAGATGCAAATAGGAATCTGAACCTGTATCCTATGCGGAACCATTATATAGCCTGGCATGACTTTAACCGATTTGGCCACAGAGGACCGTTCGGTTAGCAAGGTTGATTTTACTGTCTTTAAACTACAATCTTCCATGATTCTCTCACGTACATTAATATTTGCTCATGGCGTATCCAAATGTAAACAAATGACGTCACGCATTATGAAATAGACAAAGTCTGACAATTATTTTAAGACATGTTTATACAATATATATATATATATATAAGCGTGTGGGAGGGGAGAGAGAGACTGCGTGTTCGATCCTAACTGGCCTCGTGCTAGACAACACTAAATGAAATTTAAATGTTGATGATAGAAATGTTATTCCTTCATCACTTCTCAAGTCAGGATAAAAACGTTGTTTTTTTTTTTGTAATTTTCTTTTTTTTTTTTTTTTTTTTTTTTTAAAGAAACTCCCAAGCATTCGACGTCTGTTCGGAATTCGCAAATTTCTCATCATTTTTTTGTTCGTTTTTATTTTCTCACCAAATCTATCAAAGTCCTTCTCCTGAACGCTCGTCTATTAGGCGAATCCGTAAGCATCCGAAGCACGGAGCAGCACCGACCCGACAGAAAAAAAAAGTATCATCGTCTCCACTTAGTTCACAAGGGGTCAAAGCAGTCAGTTGGAGGAATTTGTTGGGTGCAAGTGTGAAAACGGGTAGACAATACCCGACCGCTCACGCGCGAAGTGTCACACATTGACCGTCTTAAAAGAATTCACTATAATCCGACAAAGACGCTTCACGCGAACAACAACAAAAAAAAAAAAAGATGAAGCAAAAAAGAAAGAAAATAAAGAAGAAAAAAAATTGTGCTTTCGTTTTTGGTTTTTTGTTTTATTTTTCACATTTTTAATTCTTTATTGCGCTTTTTGTGCGTGCGCCCCTGTGCGTCCCTGTATGTGTGTGTGTGTGTGTGTCTTCCGTTGGTCCTTTTATCAGCCGGAAACGTCTTTCTCAACAATTATTCAGATATTTTCATTTATACTTTTCCTTTTTCTATTACTTCTAAATTCCTATCTTTTTTCCTTTCTTCTCTACACTTTATTATTTTCTTTGTTTTCCTCATTTCTAGTTTTCTTTCTTTCTTTCCTCCTTCATTGTTTTTCGCTTTTTCTCATTCTCCCCCCCTCTCTCTCTCTCTCTCTCTCTCTCTTCAGCCATGCATCTCCTTCTCCTCCTCCTTTCCATTTTTTCTCTTTCCATTCTTCTTTCTTTCTATTTTTACTCGTGTCATTTTTCACCTTTTGTTCAGCTTCTATTTCCTTTACCTTATCTGAGAAAAAATTATCTCCCCTTTATACTTTCATTTCTCTCTCTCTCTCTCTCTCTCTCTCTCTCTCTCTCACTCACTCACTATATATCAGTCCAATCTATGTATCTATCTAAGTCTGTTCATATCTATCTATCTATCTATCTAGATAGATAGATAGATAGATATGAATAGAGACAGGTAGGTTTGCCTGGCACTTTAGCTTCATAGTTAGATTTGCTCTACTTAGTGCATTGAGCACTTTGCTTAGTTATTTTTGCTTTACTCGTTTTGAAGGTTTTTTTTCTTTGGACTCTGAGCTTGGATTCTGGACGATTGTTTTCGCCTGAATTACATGTTCTTAGTTCTTTTTTTTTATTCCTTTTTTTTCCTTGGGTATTGGTTTGTTCATTTACAAGCCAAAACACATAAAGTTTTTCCAAGACGAGTATAATTACTTATATTTATAAGATTATTATTATCTAGATAGATAGATAGATAGATAGATAGATACATACATACATAGATATGTAGCTAGCTAAGTATTATAATAAATGATCAGTTTACCACCCGGGGCGCTTTTTTATATATATATATATATATATATATATATATATATATATATATATATATAAAGTAAAAAAAGCATATTTGGATTAAATTAACTTCTTATCCTACTACCAGATCCAAGCAATCGTCCCTTTCGTTTCTGAAATATATTCGTTAATGGCCCCGGTACGCTTATTCGAGAGAAGATTTTATTTTAATTTTCCTAAGGAAAAGTGGGAACTTATTCGAGAGGATTGGGCTTAATCGAGCATTTACTGGTATCTACCTATGTCTGTCCATATCTATCAGGTTAGCTCGCTAGTATCTCAATATGCTCGTATCTATCTACGTAGATGTATCTATCTATGTAGATTTTTTATGTATATAAAAAGATGGCAATGTTTTTCATTTCTGAACACGGTCAGCACATTGTGTCCGTGTTCATAATCGATATTATTAATAGTTTGTTTCTTTTTTGCCTGTGGATGAGTCTGTTAGGTTCGTATTATCCACAATTATGTTGGCATGTAAGATTTTGATTAAAAACATTCCAATCCCTATATATAGATAAATCAAATCTACATACATTTTTCAAAATCATACATGCCAAATTCTTATACAAACACTTCCCGGAATCAAGCACCCTACAGAAAATATTCGACAAAAACACAGTAAAAATCAGCCACAATTGCACCGGGAACATGGCACAAATAATAAAAAAGCACTACAGGAAAACTATCAACAAACCGCACGGACAAATTAAACCCACGTGTAACTGCAGAGTAAAGAACGAATGTCCCTTAAACGGTAATTGTTTACAAAATAACGTAATATACTAAGCCACGATAAAATCACCAGATTATGAAGAAAAAGTATACATAGGAGTAACTGAAGGACCCTGGAAACAAAGAAATTATGCACACAAAAATCTTTCACAAATAGTAAATACGCAAACAGCACAATGCTTTCTAAATATATCTGGGAAATTAAAAACAAAACGCACATCACACCAAAAATATCTTGGAAAATAAGGAAAAGATCATCACCCTACAACAACCAATCCAAAACTTGCAAACTTTGTTTGGAGGAAAAAAATAGCTATCATTACCTTCCCAGACCAAAATATTAAGTAAACGATCCGAGCTCATCTTAAAATGCAGACATGGATTCAAATTTTTACTACCTTAGTTAAAAATCGAAAACTGATAAAAAAATAGTAAATAAATAAAATAAAATAAAATAAATAAAAAAACGACAAATAAATTAAGTAAAATAAATTAACCCCCAAAAATTACCAAATCAAACCCGTTAGAATAGACGAAATGGAATAAATAAATAAAAAATAAAAAACAAAATCAATGAACCCAAAAAATAAAGTAAATAATAAACAAATAAAAAAAACCATTATGACAAAAATATTAGTTAAACTATAAAAATCAAACCAAAAATCGGACGAAAAACATAGCTATAACTGTTACATAACGATAAAAAAATACTACGTTACTTAAAAATCGAAAACCGAAAATATACACTATAATAAATAAATAAAAAAACAAGTAAAATAAATTAATCTAAATTTATCCAAATCAATAAACTAACAAACCAATCCCGATAAATTAACCGTTAGAAAAAACAAGTAAAAATAAACAATCCAAATAAATAAATGAAGTAATAAAGAATTTAAAAACAGCTCCCACCAAAATAATAGTTAGAATAAACTATAGCAATCAACCCCAAAATTGAATAAATAGCTTTAATTATCTTCCCAAACCAAAACAAAACTATTAAATAAGCGATACAAACAATTTTTTACAATGTTAATAAAATACCGATTAAAATAAAAATAAATAAATAAATATGTAAGATAAGAAATAAAAATAAAAATAAATAAAAACAAGCAAAATAATCTAGGCCAAATAAATGAATAAACAAATAAACGACTTCCGGCAAAATAACCGCCAAAATAGACTACCCACAATGCGCCACTGACCCATATATATAAATAGCCGGTAAAAAACATCACTGATGATTGCGTCTACGATGAAACAGCCTGTCGCCTCTAAGTGTTGACTTCAATATTCACTTTTATATTCACACACGCTCTATTTCTGATATTGAGCAATTTATCACATAAATATAGCACACCTTAAGTGTATATTTCTTCATATGTGTATATATATAAATATATATATATAACTGGTCTAGGAGAAGGTCAACTCTGAATTCAAAACCTGTGGAGGGTCGTTTGGGAACCTTGTGGCCCGTAGTGCACCAGGTCTCTGTATTCGTCCCTTCAAAAAGTGTGGATGGTCCTGCACGAAACCTTCACCACGATAATCAAATCTCATGTGCCGGTGTCGGGCTGTCGGTTTCCTGGAAACTGATCTGTTTGAACCTCATACGTCGAATCTCGACGGAGAGTCGACAATATATATATATATATATATATATATATATATATATATATATATATATATATATATATATATATATATATAAGGTGGTCGTCTGTCTTTTCAACCTCGGTGTAGAATGAAGTTTATATATAAATATATATATATAAATAAACTTCATTATATATATATATATATATATATATAAACTCCAAAATTCGCTTGAGGATGAAATGGAACTAATGTCTTTAATTTAATCACAAATTAAATTCGTGGCTTTTAGCTTCCATTTTTGAAACATGATTAGAAATGTGTAGCGAAAAAAAACATATTTTATATCAATTAATTTATAATAAACTTCATTATTATATATATATATATATATATATATATATATATATATATATATATATATATATATATATATATATATATAAACTTCATTCTATACTGAGGTTGTAAAGACAGACGACCACTTTCGTCGTCTGCCGAAATAGCCTATTCCCCATATGAAGTGAAAAGATTTGTTCGAGTCTTAATATATATATATATATATATATATATATATATATATATATACTAGCAGCATGGCCGGCGTTGCCCGTGTTTGATTCAAAATTCGTACGACTTCGATACAGCAATTGCTATCACTTGACTTAAAATATTTTTGCCATTCCTTGCCTTTAAAGGAGTGCCCTTTGCCGTGCTGATGTTGCTACATGCCTTACTTCTTGCCTATCTCACTGCGAATTTTTCTACGCTCTGTACTAAACATTAAATCTGTTACGAAAAAAGAACTAAACAATGTGAACATCAAACGATCAGCTTTAAAAAAGGACTCGTAACTGGAAAAACCGAATGAAAAAAGAATGTTAACGACAAATACTTTTTCACACCCAACCCAGTTCTGCGGAATCAGAATCAACGTTGAGTCTAAGCAAGCGAATGAGCCAATTGGGATAAAGTGCCATGCAGATTTAAATTTTTCCCACTTTTGACGAATGCAGCTATCGATTTTTTTTGCATGCTAGTTAACATTCGTGTCAGTCAGCTGTTGGCTCTCATGCTGGCCAATAGAATCTTCCTGCCTATTCGTGGCAGCCAGCTATAGGCTCTCACTCTAGCCAGTAGAAAATGGTCGCAAGCTACATGAAAACTGCCGTAGAAGCATGAAAAAATCGATTATTTCCACTATGGGAGTTGGGAAATGCAAAGTCAGTCTTGGCCTTCCCGCTAACTTGGAGCATGTGCATATAAATTTTGGTGCAAATCCGTCGAAAATTATATTTTTCAGTGTTTGATGCAAAATAAATGTCTATTTTTAAGACTATATAAACTTATTTTTATGATGGCATTTAAGCATAATTTCATTTCTCTGGTTCAATAACTGGCTTGTATTTTTGTACTTAATTATTTTATTTTTTTTCTTCCAGGTATAGTTTGCATCTCTTATATATATATATATATATATATATATATATATATATATATGAATTAAGATCAAATATAGATAGGAATGCTAGAGAATGATAGGATAAGGGACAAATAGGAAATCTTTATAAATCTGACATGCTTTGCTTTTATTAACACTTGAGATGTGGAGGTTTATTTTCCACGAGGGTCGGCCAGGTGAAGGTGCCAAATGATATTTAGCTACCCCCCCCCACGAGGGTTACATGTGGCACAAGGCCAGGTTTAACGTGGGATCTCCAAAATATTGCTTGGTGGAAGATATCGGCTGCGTTTATGTCGGCTCCGGTTAGCATTGTAGTCGGTTGGCAATATCTTTTGGTTGATGACTAAAAATTAACTTCCGCATTTTGACTGTATACATGGGTTTTATTTGGACACCATGTGTATATAAAGTAGTTTCCGGTTATTATTTTTAGTTAGGAGGACTTGTGTATGTTTGTTTCATTTGTTTTACTTTTTGTGTATCGTTCTCTGAAAAAAACGCTGAGTCACCGGAAGTTAACGGCATTCGTTCTGTTTTCGGACGTTTGAGTAGCCAGCAGTAACTTCCGGCCGGGTGCGATACCCTTACCCGTGCTTTCAAATTGATTTCGTGCAAAAACAATTGTGTTTTTCCAATTTTTGGCGCTGTCAGAAACACAGCCGGGTAATTTTACGTAGTCCTGTGAAGTTTTGTTGAAATCGGTTGAAAATGTAGGAAATATGATCCCATATATAAACGAACACACACACACACACACACACACAAATCTGCGTTTTATA